GTTTTTATTGACATTGTAAGAAACATTTTTTTCTTTGTTACAAAAGAGCTAAGTGGTTCTGAAAGCAGAAGTACAGTTTATATGTACACAGTGCTACAGACCCTTCAGATCGATCTAAGGCTCAGGAAACATCAGATCATAACTGTAGGTTTATCAAATGAAGACCACTAAGGCCTATTACATCCGAACACTATTCCTACTGTAGGTAAATGTATTTACACATTAAAAAAAAAAGATTACAAGTTTTATAAAAATCTAAAAAAAAAGTGAAAAATGAACACTTTTATCTTACACATCTGCAGGATTGACAATGGTAAATTTTTAATAGAGGACAGTCTATCAATTCAAGAACAATAACACATGAATACCAGAGGTTTACAAGACGTTTCAGACGCTATTAACAGTGGTATGTGCTATTAGCTGAATGGTACGCACAGCCTTATAGCTAAAATTTGGCAATAGTTCTTGGTCCCTCTCTTTTACAGGATCAACACAATATAAGGCACATACATCGAAACATTGTTGTTTAGTAGGACAAGCCATAGTGTAACATGGGCAGATTAACTATTATTCTGCCCGTTTCATCTTAAAAATGAAAGAAACAAAGCCAACCTTAAATGCAAGTACCATTTTAGGAGCTTGCCTAGAAGGAGATTAAAATTCCACACTGCTATTGGGATAGCCAAGTCCACAGTGCTTGATATCAAACCCATTCTGGACTTCTCCTTCACTGCCTCCAAAAGTACCTGTCATACATCCAACTGTACCTGATGTATGCAACTGAACACACAGGAGGGCACAAGCAGGTCTTCCATTTTGGCAAAAGGAAATCCAAACTAGAGCAATGCTCTTAAAGACAAACAAGGGTGGAAGCTGAAGGGACCAAAAAGCTCTATTAAAGGTCAGGCTGGAGAGAAGACACACACATGGATTTTTAGCATGACAGTGCCTCCACTGCTATTCTTATTGACAGTGGCTGCCATTAAATACCACATTTACCACTTTACAGTAATTGGGGAGGGAGGGCACAGAGTCTGGCTGCCAACTTCCCTTGAAATACTAACTGGTGTGGCAAAAAGGGCTAATATGATTATTGGATGTTTAAGCAAAGGAGTAGGAATGGGGAGGTGTGCTTTTCCCCCCTCTGTATTTGACATTGATGCAATCAATACTAAGGTATTGTATATAGTTCTGGTGCCCATGGTTTAAAAAAGAGGTTGAAAAATTGGCGAGAGTGAAGAAAAGAGCCACAATAGTTATTTGAGGGCTGGAGAAAATGCCTCACAGTGAGAGATTTAAAGAGTTCAATCCATTCCACTTATCAAAAAGAAGACACGTAAGGACCTGCATACAGTGTGTAAGTACCTGCATGAGGAGAAACTACTGGATACCAGAGGGCTCTTTAATCTAGCAGAGAAAGGCATTACAAGCCCAAAGGGTGACAAATTAGCCATAACTTTTTAACAGGAGAGTGCTTAACCAGTAGAACAAACTACCAAGGGAAATGGTGGCTCCTCCATCTCTTGCTGTTGTCAACTCAACAATGCTTTCTGAGAGCTATGCTTTAGCCAAACGCAAACACAAGTTATTGGGCTCAGGCAAGGGGTAACTGGATGAAAATTAATAGCCTGTGATTTACAGGAGATCAGACTAGCTTATCTAATTGGCCCTTCTCCTGGAAAAATCTATGAAACACATTTTTACTTAGTTGTCAAATGTGCTAATTAATAATGGATTATCTCATATCCAAAAGTTAAAAGCAAGAATTAAACAAGAATATTTACAGGCTGGCTCCAAGAGAGATTTCCCCAAGCCATCGACTCCAACACTAGTCACACTTTATATTAAGGTTCCATCCATAAATAGTCTATAAATGATTAATAGATATTTTAATAATCAGTCACTTGTTTGTTGCTTGTGACTATGGCGATATGGCCTATTGGATAGGACACTGGACAGGGTAGACATTGGTTCTGTTTCCCGCCTTGGCCACTGGCTTGCTGGATGACCTTGGCCAAGTCACTTCAGCACCTTGTGTCTCAGTTTCCCCTCTGTAAAATGGGGATAATGAAACTGACATCATTTGTAAAATGCTTTGAGACCTACTGTGAAAAGCACTATATACAAGTGAGGCATCATTATTATTGTAACCAGCTGTAATACCTTCTGCTTATGATCTTCCATAACATATACCGCTCATGTCTGTAACAGGTTTTTAACAGCTATTCATGATTTACTAACCCTTTCTAAGTGGAAGTCCTTCCCCAGTAAATTTAAAGCATGACCAACAGCACTAAACAGCTACCTTTCACTTCCCAGGGAAAGGAGACAGGCATCCCAAGGTGCCCTGAAGGCCATCAAAGGGCCAGAGGAAAGTGCATTCTAGCATGGAGGACCTCCTCACCAAGAATGCTTTGTGATCAACACCCTCTTTTTAACCCAGTGGACTGTTTTAGTTTCTCAGCTGATTGGTCCTGCTCTGGGGGTGTCACACGAGGAGACGGGGCGGCTCTAATTAGGGTACCATGATACCTTCTAAGCCCCTAAGTAAAAGATGACACCTGGAACAGCAAATATTGTGATTTAATGGTACGCAGTGTAATTCTGTTGTGTCTGAGTGTCACAGAAGATTAAAGAACTGGCCAGTTTATAGCTGCTTAATACTAGGAAACAGACTGTTTTCTAAGGGCTCTCCAGGGCCACTCTGCTGAGAATGAGGGATGTTCTCCAGCCACGGAGATGCAAGTCTTGACTCACACTGTGCGATTTGACCTGCTGGCTCTCCTCCCTAGCCATAGTACCTGCAATTCCAGTGCAACCTGCGTCCCTTGTTACTGATTCCCACCAATGGCAGGGAAGCAACAGGGGCAATGGTGTGCATAGGGATTGCAGGAAAGGAAACCAGCATGGAACAGAGGGAGAGGGAGATTGCAGAGGGAGGAAAAGCCAATGAACAGGACCATGGAAGGCAGAACCGGTTTAAGCCCCCAAGCAGGAATATTTTGTGGTCCCTCCCTACAACTGTAAAACAGGCATGTTCTTATGATAAAAAATGAATATAGGGCCTCCCCCATGAACTGCTCATGGCCCTAAGAAATTTCTCAGTCTGCTTATGCTCAGCGCCGGCTCTGTAATGCTTGTTACAGCTGTGCGGAAAGACAAGGAAGGTAGGATCTGAGCAAGGAAGGATGTAAGGCTACTGCCGAAGGGCCTTATTCTTTCTGGAGTATTTAAATTTCTTGTTCTCTGGCTTTCCCTTGCAAAACATATCAAATATAAGTTACTTAGAACACAGTACCACACACTGTAATGAGCATATACTCTATTCCAACACTGGCTCCCTGTTACGTTGCATACTGATTTAGAAATTCCGCCTTGGACTTTTATGGCGCTGAGTGGAGCGGCCCATTATACTGGACTGACACAGCTTCTGTTCACACATATTCACAAGAGATCTAAGTCAGCTGGGTTTTATTTTACTCTGAATACAGCTGAGTAACAAGAATAACACAGGCTTTAAGTATGTGGAACTCACACCCTGATGTTATGCTAGACTTTAAAATGGGTTCCTATTCTCACTAACATTTAACTAAATGCTTCCTCAACAAATCTACTACTTGTGGGTGAAATTCACTCATGTACAGCTGGAGAGGCATAAACGTTAGGCCTCATTTAAGATCCCTGTAAGCATTCAAAATAGGGCTTCAATTAGACTTATGCAGGGGATAGACCTTGTGTAGGTCTTCTGCACAGGGGTTAATTTTACCCTCAAGAGTTCAGGACTCACTCCTGCATCTATGAGAGCTTTGCCTGTGCTAGGGGGAGCAGGAATAGGCCCTAAATTACAAAATGTGCTGTGATACCTAGCAACACAATGGGCCAAATTCTGTACTTAATTACATCAGTGTAAACCTGGCATAACTCCACTGAAATCAATGGTGTTAGTTCAGATTTGCGCTGGTGTGACAAAGCAGAACTTGAGCCAGTGAAACGAATCAAAATGAGAGGGAAGCTGGTGCCAAGGACTTCACTTGCGTTTTTAGCTTTAGCTAAGACTCCTTACCAGGATATAATTTCTTTATTGACACTTTCTTTGCTTATTTTTTAAATCAGAAGTTTAGATTTTAAAATGTTAAAAGTAAAAAAAAAAAAAAAAAAGTGCTTTGGGAATGTATTAAACACCCTTGTGATCGCCGAGAACCAATGGGGCCCATTGGGTCAATGTGATTGTAAAGATCTTTTTTTCATAGATTCATGATTCTTCTCAAGTTGTTACTGTGCAGTATGTCAATAGGAGTTTACATATTTAATTAAAAATATGTACTCTGCCGCAAATGAATAGTGATGATTTATACTAAACTCTATGAAAGAGCAATTATTCTGAGGACAGAGAGTAGCTGATTTTAAAACCTCCAACTGAATTAAAATGACATTGGGCTACCTTATGGACTTAGGCCCAGAGCCTCAAAGGTATTTAGGCCCCTAACTCTCATTAAAATCAATGGGAATAAGGCACCCAAATACCTTTGAGCATCTGGACCTTAGTGCCTGTTTCTGCACTCACTAAAGCAAATGGAAAAACTTCCATTAGTTTCAATAGTGCAGAACGAGATGCTAACCATGTATACCATTTTATTACAAAAATTAATGCTGTATTTGATGAAGAGTATAAAAAATACCCAAATCACCAGACATCCATTTATTTTTGTTCTCCTCTTGTCGAATAACGTCTGAAAAAAAATGTAGACCAAATTCTGCTAAATATGTGAATTGTGTTCACAAAGGGATTTTTAAACCCTCCAAAAGGGGGTTGTCATAGAAACGGTACAGTTTCGGCTCAACAGTTGAAGTGCAAGGTCTGTGTATGTGGGCGTGTGTACATACACACAGACTCATTTGGGACAAAAAAGTTTGATACTTTTTCATTTCTTTTTGCACAAGCCCCAGATATCTTTTGCCACACAATTATGGGTACATGATCAGGTAGCAGTATGAGTAGATTTGTTCGTAGATTGGCTGTCCACCTTACAGCAATGCGTTCACAGAAGCTCTCTTTACTCACTGTATGTACTCTGTATATCATGCCTGGTTGTTTTGTGCCTACATAAATAAAAACATTGGCAACAATCATACAAGACTGTGTTTCCTTTGAGTAAAAGAAAATTGCAAAGTCATTTCATTAGACCTTCCTTTAAAAAACAAAACAAAACATGCACTTCACACGTTTACATTGGTTTACAATAAAAAAAGAAAAAAGTATACAGACATTTAAAAAAAGAGAGAGAGGAGTGGGTCTAACAATACTGATTCAAAACTGAAATGGAAGACAGTTTCTCCCTAGAACACTTTAGGGTTTTCGGAGTCCTTATTCCATAAAAGGAATATACTTGAAACACATCCCATTTAGGTGAGATGAGATTGCTAAAATACATACACAACTAAAAAATGAGTCACTTTTTATCGGTTATCTCCTAAGTTTTTTTCCCCATGTCTATTGCATAACAGCAAGAAACTTGCTTTCTTCTGCAAGTGAGGTCAACAAAGAACTCATGTCCCCAATAGCCATGTTTGTTGTGCTCACAGGCATAGCTGGGAATGTAAGAGACGCTCGGGGAGTGGTGAGGCGTGAAGAATTGTGTGAGAGATTCTGAATGATACTCGGACTCAGGGCTCCTGAAATTAAGCTGGCATGGTCCCCATCATCTATGATAGCATCAAAATCAATCTGCACACCTTCTAGGCTGTTGCTGTCAATGCTGTCAACTGTGCTTGTCACCTGGTTAGCCCCTGGGGAAAGAAGCTCAGACGAATTTGGAATACCAGTCCCCTGCAGCAGGCAGTTAGCTTCCGAAATAGAGAAAGAACCTGTTTTCATAGCTTGCTGAGTAAAGCCCATGGATTGGTCATATAACTGACCAGAGTAATTCTGCATATTAGAGCAGAACTGTTGTGATTGACCTTGCATCTCCATCTTAATGCCATTTACCCTGTATGTCTGGTTTGCATCACTTATAAATCCTTGCTGTTGTGCCAGGGTGTTTCTCAGCATGTTTTGCCGTCTGTTGCCTCCATAGTTGGCACATGGCTGGTAACTCTTTGTCACCACCAAACCTGATTGCTGGTTTCCAATGTTGTGAGACATTGGTGGACAACTCTGTGGCCCTTGACAAAGGCTCATTTGTGAGGTAGGACTAACCTGCCCTAACATCATTTGATTGGTTTGATTGACTCCCTGATAATGAATGCCTTCCCCTATTGGCTGATTCTGCAGGTATTCCTGTTCTATCGTATTTCTACTCTGCATCCCATTAGCCATACTGACAGATTGCTCACCTGGCACCATGGGATGGCCAAAGTTTTGTTGACTCTTGTTTATTAGCATGCTGTTGTTCCTCAACTTCTGCCCTTGAATCACTATGCCACAGGAACTGTCCATTGCCCCAGAAATCATTGGTTGTCTGGTGATGCTTTCACCATATGGCTGTGCCTTATTTGCCTGCATGTTGAAAGAGTTACTGGTGGTGTTGTTGCTGATAATCATGTTCTGATGTAAACTGTAAGAGCTGTTGTTTTCCACAAGATGTTGATAGCCATTTTGTTGGGCCATACCATTTCTCTCCAGGTTCTGCTGCTGGACCATCATATTGTTATATAGTCCAAAAGCTCGAGTTTGTTGGACTGCCGAGCGTGGACCACATTTCATTTTTGAAGGAGACAAGTCAGAACTTCCTGAGCTTACTTCATTCCACTGGATTGGCAGGTCGCTTTTGTTTGCTTCAGAGCTGGTCTGTTGACTGTTTGGTGAAGGGGCCTGGTGAAAGTTGTTGTTCCCTACTGCTGACCCGTGATGCACTTTGTTATTGTCCAGGACATCATTTGGCAAATGGTCATACATGCTTTGGTTCTGGGAATTCAAATACTGAACCACATCGTCTGGCAAGAGATCCTCATCATTTAGACCACCATCCGCTTCCATGGTAGCAGCCTCCATGGTGACATTCTCACTGATACTCGGAGGACATGGGGAGTAGGCGTTACGGAACAGGCCGCCATCAGAGCGGGTATAGTTCTGAAGAATAAAGTTTCGCTTTTCCATAGATGGAGGCAAAACAAGAGGGTTAAAGCTATTAAGACTGTTGAATCGCTGGACTCTAGGCAGAGAAAGGTTGTCGGAAACCATTCTTACTGGATCACTGGCTCTCCTTGTCCCATTTCCCAGCACATCATGAGGCAGAAAATGCCTCCTGTTATAACTATTTGCCCCACCATCACTACATCTACGAGGAGCATTTACTGGAGGCAGAGGAGATACTCCAGACTCCCTGCAATCACCCAACAGTGCCATCCTTGTTTTGAGGCTCATCCTCTCCATGTTAGGCAGTGGAGTTGGTGGGGGTCCACCAGTAGCTGCTGCATATTTAGCTTTCAGCCTGTATTGCTGGGCTGGGGTGAGGCTGAGTAGGCTTGGCAGGCCATCACACTGACTCACTTCACTGGATCGCCTGGAGGCATCAGTCGAGATGGGGTCATAGGAGTCGGCGACACTCATGTTCTGAGGCCTTCCCTCAGCTTGGGAAGCATCACTGGATCTTCGACTGGAAAAGCAAGGTGAAATTCCAGAGGACCTACGGCTACTCAAGTAGGCGGAACTGATTGTGCTGGTGCTGCTGTCCCTCCTGTTCAGCATGTTTAACACTGTGATGTCCATACTTGAAATTTCATTTCTGTTGGGTAGAATAGTCATGGATCCTCCTAAACTGCAGCTGCTGCTTGACTGGATACCTGATGGTAAAATTCACAGATAAATGAATATTAATCAGGACCAACTGTAGAAAACACTTAGAGTCTGAGACAAGTAACAGGCATTTCAAGGAAATACCCATATGATTCTAGGAAGTCAAGACCGTTTTCTAATCAGAAGTAGGGCTAAATAGCACTCTTGTATAGGGGCTCACAGATTCAAGAACATCATTTCAATGTGAGCCCCAACACATCCTCAGTTGTCATCCAGTGATGTAGTTCCATTGACTAAAATGGAGCTACTCCGATTGACACTGACTAGGGAAACAGGTTTCCCATATTCTTAAAAAAAGCTTTTTAGATTTTTGTAACTAATTGAACTGGCATTCATGTGATAATCTAAGTCTAGATGGCAAAACATACAAATTGGAAATTAGAGTAATTTTTAAAGAATTCTTACATATTTGCATGTTATTTAAAACAACTGCAAAACATCTTTCCCAGTTCCCCCTTTTAATAAACATAATATAAGCATCATCGTCATCTTTATGTCATTCCTTTTCTTGAATGCACTTCACAAACTATGTACATATAATACCACAGATGTGCAGTCACTTCTAGGGTGGACAGAAGCAGCCAACTGGTTCACAGTAGGTTGCCCAAAGTTTTGGGAGGAGAAATATTGCCCAAGGGCACCAAGTCAAACCCCATCTCTTGTAGAAAGTGCTATGGAATCTTTAGGGTCCAGCATATCTCCATGTGATTCATGTACGAAACTATACATGCATTTTTCGAGCATTATCATCTCCATGTGCAACTATCAGTGCATTTGCAAATAGAGACCATGTTAAAGCCCATTTCAAAATGTAGTCCATGACGACTATGCAAAGCAGATAGGATCTGCGGTTTAAAGGCCTCACTTGAAAGAATACCACACAATAAACTGCATGGTATTTAATTTCTCTACCTTGGAAGGATGCAGGGCTAAAATGATGCTGTGAATCGAATGTTTGGTTCCAGGGAATCTAAGTATTTCAAGCATGATAATCAGACCACCAATATTCACTTCCAGGAATATAAACTATGGGATTACCAATTTCTACCAGTATAGTACAATTTCTAATTTAAACGGAAAATATATATATTGAAAAATTTAGGTGTCTTACAGCTCCTAGGTAAGTAGAACTCCCACTGAATTTCATGAGTTGTACAGTCCGTGTAAGTCCTGAAACATCAAGCCCTAAGAGGACGAATTTAAAGAATGAAAGTATGATTAATCCAGTTATGCATATCTCACCATTTCCTATGAGAGGTGGCAAGGTTGGGGCTTTTGAAGGTGGAATGGGATTCAGTCTTGGAAGCACTCCATTAACTTGTTTCAACCTTTCTAATTTGACTTGCTCCATCCATTTGGTCCCTGTCATGTTCCTCCTGGCCTGTAAGCCAAGTGCTGTGGTTGCTGTGGAAATGGTAGAGTCCATGATTGGGGTTTCATCAATGACACTGAGGTCTCCTACACTACCTCCACTGGTCAGATTAAGCTCGATCCCATGGTTGGAATAGTTGCTGATGGGGGACTGTTCGCTGCTGCATGTAGACTGACCACCAGGGCTTGGCTGAGATGTCTGTTGGAGTGAAATAAGAAATGAATGATAATTAGGATTAGGCAAAGAATGCTAATGAATTGATTTCAATGTACCTCATGAACAGATATTATTCCACATTGAGTCAAAATGAACCTAAAAGCTAAGCTTAAACAGATGACAATGATCTTTGATTAAAGGCTTTCTGGTACACGACTACTTGACTTTTAACCACACTGAAAACTATTGAGAACCCCTTCTCCCCCAGTGTTAAAATTCATCTCAGCATCTTACTAACAGAGAGTACATTAAATCTATATTACGCTATTCATCGGAAAAGATCCCAGATCAATTAAATTACTTTACAGGTTTCATATATATCCTGTATCCAATTACAGGATACATTTTATTATTACTATTACTTGTATTATTGTGTTGCCTAGGAGCCCCCAGTCATGGAACAAGACCAAATTTAGATAATTTGAAAGTAATTACCCAAATTGGAATTTGACCAAGACACCGGGGCTAACTTATAGTGCTAGGCTTGCAAAAAAACAACAACAACCCAACAACATTGGGCTTTTTAAAAAAAAGTATACAGGCAAAGAATTTGAAGTATTTGATAATATTCAAGAAGTACAGATGCACTGTTCCAAGCATTTGAGGGTTTAAACTTTGGCATATAATAATGAGAAATGAAAAAAATTTCAATGTAAAAATATTATAACTTAATATCAGCTTTATCTCAGCACCCTTGGACCACGATTTCTGACTGGCCACAGGTAGTAAGGACCTCAGCTTTATGTCCCATATGAATAAAATAGGTGCTGTTGTTCTAAAGTCAAGTCATCTGTCACACTGCAGTGCAGGACTCTGAATGCAGACAGAGTTCTGCATGCTTCAGCTGGGAGCAGACTCTGGGTTCAATGGGGTTGGATGGACATAAAGTTAGAATAAAACAACATATTTGCTGATTACAAGTTCTCTTTGCATTAATGAAAAGAACAAAACATCATATGGAAGACTCCAGCAGCACACTCAAATGTAACACCTTCTCAGTACTATGTCTGCACTGGAGCTGGATGTGTAATTTCCAGCTCCAGTAGATATACCCGTGCTAGCTCTGATCGAGGCAGCATGCTAAAAATAGAAGCGATGTCGCAGTGGTGAGTGTACCAGGACAGGCTAACCACCTCAAGTGCGTACACATGTTTCAGGTGGAATTGCACTTGGGGCAGCTAGCCTGTTGCAGCTACCACACTGCTATTTTTAGCATGTTAACTTGATAAGAGCTAGTGCAGGTACGTCAACCCGGGCTGGAAATTACACCTTCAGATCCAGTATAGACGTATCCTCACTGGGAAGATAGCCATCTACTGAATCAAAATTTTCACTTTCTTGGAGATCTCCCAGACTTGTGACATGATCACAACCCAAGGTGATATTCTACAAGGGGCATTGACCTGCCACAACTCCATCTTCTCTTTTAAACAAACAGGTAAGACCAATGCTCTGAAATGTTTATTTTATTGTAGTGGTATTCTTGCGGCTGTAAAATACAGGGTCTTTGAAGTACTCAAGAGCATCTTCCCTACATGAATGAGAAAATTATTGGAGGGGGGGAAGAGAAGGAGAGAGTGGGGGGGGGGTTCTTTAGGAGTAATACTTCATTCTAGGATGCACCAGTTAGCTATTATAACCACAGATCTGTATGACATGCAAAAACATTTTGCTTCCAAGAACAGTTTCATAAACACGTATCTATTTCATTATTTTACTTTTAGGCTTTTGCATTTTCAGTCACCATGTGATCTTCATGCAAACTCTTGTCTAGGACGGCTAACTAGAATTTTGTAGTTATCGATGATGTCTTTGCATTCTAACAACAAAGTGAATAAAGATACAAGCCTGTGCCAGAGTGGTGGCTTAATGTGATTGTGATGAATACTTGGGTGTAATAATAATTTTAATTATTTCTAATGTCAATGATAATGCTTGTAATTTATAAGTCCACACGGAATGTGGTACACTTCCAAATCTTGGTCACTGCAGATTTGGTGAGGGCACTAAAGAATAAATGTTATCTGGGAGCAGTGAGCTTGCACCCATTGTACAAGAGTTAAATAAAGAATGCTAATGATCAGAAGCCTGTTCTTGTAGCCACACAAATTGGTCAAAATGAGTCAGAAGTAGAGAAAATGATCATGGGAATGTATCTCTATAGATATGTATATACATAAATATGATATATACAAACAAATACATCTGAAACTATTTCACAAGAGTAATCTAGCTATTTCACATGCCAAGTGTTTTGCAAAATGTTCATTACACATATGTGGAAATGTATCTGATGGAATGCTTCTTACTAAATAAAAGAATGATTTGACAAGAAGCAAAAGACTAAAAAAAGAAAAAATGTTGCAATGAAAAAAGTTCAGAGACGTTTAAATCCCCTCACCTTATTACCCACTGTCCTTAGGAAGTTAGAACAAGACATTTAAGAGCATTAGACAGAAGAAACATTGGATTAGTAGAAAAACAAGGGACATATCTTAACTCATATAGCAATGAAAACCAAGAAAAGAAGGACAACTACATTACATTTTAATCACCTATTTGTAGAGCTGATTTACAGTGGGAAATATTCAATACCATTCATAAAAAAACTAACTTGTTTTAAGGCCCAGTCCTGCAAAGCTTTACTCACGTTAGTGCCTCTTACTCAACTAGTTTCATTAATAGCAATGGACTACTCACCTAAGTAAGAGTGGCAGGATTGACTTGGGCCCGCAGAGCTTAATGTAATATCTACTAACGTCAACAGACGACTGCCTTTTGACTACAATGAGAGTTACACTGGGCCCTTGGAGTATTATTAACTGAAAACTATTACCTAATTTGGGTTTGAAGTGGTAAACCTTAGTCATGGAGTAACTCCTACCCTGGTAGGTATTGAAGCTACTAAGCAGAGTTAGGATTATGTGAGTAGAGACTGAAGGATCTGGCTTTTTATTCCCCAATGGATGGGCGTGAAGATATTGTGAATCCAGATATGGCAGAGAATGAGTTAACTTTTTTATCTAGTTCTATCCCCCTTGAGAGAAGGGTGCACTAGAGATAGTTACTTAGAGAAAATATTTCATTATTTAATAGATCTAGTAAAAAATGAAAACACCTAACAAACATTAACTCAAAATTGCAAGGTTATTTTTGTTCCCCTGGTTTAAAAAAACCCTGCCCTCGCTTCCCACGCACACACCTAGTCCTTTATTTGAATTTTTTCACAATCATTTTTATTGCAATTTTTATTTTAAATTTTTTTTTCTGTTTTCTTCCACACTCTTTTGATCTTGTTTCCCCATTTCGACCCACTTTTTCTTTTTTTCGATTTTGATGTTGGAAGGGGGCAGGGAAAACAGATAAGTAATAAACTAAAAACCAGAAAAAAAGCTAAATTTTTCATTTTTCAATTTAGTTCAAAAGTAGAGAATTTAAAAAAAAAATCTGTGAAAATTTTCAGTTTGGAAAAAAGGCAATTTTCGATGAAACCATTTTTTGTTTGAAAAATGTGTACCAAAATTTAGTAGCTGAACTTGGAGGGCTTACATCTGTCAAACCACACCTCCATTTTGGCTGATCCAATTCTGTGATTGCAGTGAACAACAATAATAATAATAATTAATAATAAATACCTAGCTCTTAAACAGTGCTTTTCATCGATAGATAATGAATTGCGAGGGGAAAACGGGAATAAACTATGGACACAAAATAGCAGGGGCAGGTAACTATGGGGCCATGTTGTTCTCCCAATAAGGGGGTCTGGTTTGAAAACTAGAGCCATGGAGCTTGTCTACACAAACAATTAGACCCTGGGAAGCTGCGGGGATGAATCTACCCCACACTAGCCTGCTGCACTCTAACTGCCCTCGTGCACCACATTGATATGAGCTAGCAGTTTGTTAGAGCATTTTGATCCAATCCTCTTTGAAATGGGACTATCTCAAAGCATATTAATGAACTGTCAATGTGCACCCAGCAGAGTACTCATGGACAGCTGGTCCACATCAGACTACCGAGGGGAAGATTCACACCCCCGCTTGCCACAGTCTAATTGTTCATGTAGACAAGCCCTAACAGTAAGACCTTGATCCTGCACTGTAATCTACACAAGCAAACTGCTGCATCCATGTGGAGCTCCTTGATTTTTCAGTGCAACAGTCAGTCTGTGCAGATCGCAATGAAGGTCTGGGAAATAAATGTTGGCATTTATTATTGATTCATCCCTCCTCCCATAAGCCAAGAAAATAATTCCCCATCATTAGTTAACATGTAAAGGGAAGGAAAGTTAAAAATCATATAATATTCCAAAAGTCCCATTAAAGGAAAATCCCGGTTGAACCTTAACTATCGAGACATTTTAAGTATGCCCATAATATTGCATCTACAGGCAATTGGCTTTTATAGTGAATTCTGTAGAGTATCAGTTAATAAGACAACAATACTATACATCAAGAATCATGATTTTATATCTAAGGCCTGGTCTACACTGGGGGGGATCGATCTAAGTTACGCAACTTCAGCTACTTGAATAACGTAGCTGAAGTCGACGTACTTAGATCGACTTACTGTGGTGTCTTCACAGCGGTGAGTCGACTGCTGCCGCTCCCCCATCGACTCCGCCTGCGCCTCTCACCGAGCTGGAGTACAGGAGTCGACGGGAGAGCGCTCGGGGGGGGGTGTCGATTTATCACGTCTAGACTAGACGCGATAAATTGATCCCCGCTGGATCGATCGCTGCCCGCCGATCTGGCAGGTAGTGTAGACATACTGTAAATCTGTTAACTTTTTTCTTCACACATACAGACTTACAAGTATAGTCATACTAACGATGATGCTTAGCATTCATTATAGGTCACTTTAAACCTACAAAGCATTGAACTAACATTAATTAAGGCAGTGTTCCTGCAAACCCCTGTGATAGAGAGTAGTACTTAGTACTTCTCACCATTCCCAAGGACTGCCAGTAAGCTGTATGCTTAGTACTAAGAGCCTGCAGAACAGGTTCTTAAGAAAATGATCCTGCTCCCATTGAAGTTAATCACAAACTTCCTGTTGACTTCAAAAGCAGAAGCAATGGCCCCTAAACTATAAACACATGTTGTATTTCTGTAGTACTGGCTAGTCTTTTACACATATTGTCCTGATTTTCAAGGGTGAGGAATCCCCAAAGCTCCCACTGACTTCTGTAGATTTTTGAGTGCTCAGCATTACTGAAAATCATGGCCACCATTTACATAGTAGTTATTTACCTGTATCATGTGTAACTGGTTAAATGCACTCTTTGGGCTGGACCCTCTGTTAGCATAAATTGGCATAGTTTGGATGGCTGGGCAGGAGATGCTCATGCTGCCTTAAGGACTTCTTAATTCTAAGGGTGTATATATACATGCAAGCATAGAAAAGTGTACTATACTTAGCCTGCAATGCTAACAAGGACCAGATCCTCAAAGGTATTTAAATGCCTAATTCCCATTGATAGCTTTGAGATGCTGAGTCCAAGTGCTTTGGTTTATTAGTTGGTAGGAGTCAGCTGGTCTAGTAAAACAGTGCCTGCTTCTTATAGACTTGGGGACTTTTTTTTAAAAGGATTAAAATGCTCCAGGAAATTAATTGCACAAACCTATATGAAAGCAAAATTAAGTATACACAACTAAACACCGAGGAAATGTGAAAGTTGAGTTTGAACACACAACATTGGCTCTGCCCCCTTGCATGCATATATTTGGTATTACCTGTGGATTCATAATCAAATATCTTAGATAAATGTGTACCTAAGATTGTAGAGAAAAAATGTTTCATGCTTTCAGATAGAATAGGCAATCACATAATTAAAGACTATGGCCTACATTTTCAAGAGCGACTAGTGATTTTAGGTGCCTCAGTTTTAAGGTGCGGAACTTGAGAGACGTTAAAGGAGTCAGATTTTCAGAGCTTAATATTTTCTGAAAATCAGGTGCCTTTAAAGTGCTGTTTGTTACTGGTTTTAAAAGCATTTAAAATATATATGATTTTGTAAAAAAAACTAGTGCACTGAAGTTTATTAACAAATACTGATAATAGAGAGGAAGAAACAAAGCAGCACAGTATGTTGCATACCATTGGTTTTTCTGACTTGACAGCTTTCACTTGGAGGCGTTCTTCCCGCTTTGAGGTAGTGTTGCTGAGGTCCTTTTGCTCGCCAATTGCACCCTGAGTCTGCTGGCCTGGTGATCTGGATTGAGAATGGCTGCCTGGGTCTCTCGGTGGTGGAGGCCTTGGATGAATATCTCCACGCTGCTTCTTGGTGACATGTGCCTCGGGGCCATGCACAGTCTTCACGTGTTTCCGGAGAGAACTGGGGTCTGTGTAGCGCTTTGTGCAGCCTGGTATCTTGCAAACATATGGTTTCTGCCAGATCAGGTGGGAAGAAAGGCTGAGGTTAGATTTGGTTTCCTTGTAGGATTCCTAAGAGTTCCTTTGAGTGCAGTAAGTGTAACAATTATACTCTTCCACAGTGAATGCATTAACAAAGTGATGACATTGTGAAACTGTCTCAGCATTGACCACACCTAATAAAATCTATTCCTCTTCCTTGGCTTTGAAGGGAGCACAATGCACATTATTGCTACATATGTAACAAAGTAAGAACACAGGCAGATCCTCAGCTGGAGTAAATTGCCATAACTCAGGGTTTCTCAAATTGGGGATCGGGACCCCTTAGTGGGTCGCGAGGTTATTACATGGGGAGTCGCAAGCCTCCATCCCAAACCCCATTTTTCCTCCAACATTTATAATAGTGTTAAATATGTTTTAAATGTAGAAGGGGGGTCGCACTCAGTGGCTTGCTATGTGAAAGGGGTCACCAGTACAAAAGTTTGAGAACCTCTGCCATAACTCCATTGAAGTCAATGAAGCTACAGCAACGTACTCCAGCTGAAGATCGACTCCATGGGATTTACCATATTGGATCAGATCACTGGTTTATCTAATTCTGCATCCTGCCTCTGGGTGGTCCAGTACCTAATGCTTGAAATTCAGAGGAAAGCAAAATCCTTCTATGATGCACTGGACCAATTATTGAGGGGGGAATTCATACACATCCCCTACAGGCCATCAGTTTAAATGCCTAAGCATGGGATTTGATGACCATCATCATTCTGATCTAGCATAACTATAACTATTATTCGAGGTCATAAATTTATCAGCTCTTCTTTAAATCCAGTGAAGTCAATGGAGCTACATCAGTTTACACCAGCTGAGGGTCTGGTTCTATAGCAACAGCGCACTTCATTGTGAAATACATTTCTGGTAAGATTTGGGGTTTATTTGTTTGCTCGATTTTGTTGTTGCAATGCAAGAAAGTGATGTTCCATCGATGATGATAACTAAATTTAGTGATTGACTGTTGAATATTCAACCTAGAGCTTAAAAAGCAGAGCAAAGCATCCAGATCAAAAACACACCTTGTTTGTGCCTCACATTGCTATGATGGGATGGACAAATTGATTCCAACAAAGTATGAACCAACCCAAAGCTTAGATCAGGTATTGGACAGATTTAGGTAAATCTCCTATCCCTGATTTTTGTAATAATTTATCATTAAATCCACCATTATGTATCAGCAAGTCTAGAAGTTTGCAGAACACATGCATCCAGGTTTAAGCTGAGTATGGAGCTGTGAAATGCTGTCTGGGTCACCTGTGATCCACAGATGCTACAGCGACTGCAAAATTTGAAGAGAATGCTAGTCCTAGTGAATTGCTGTGACGGATGTGGTGGGAAATCACCAAAGAAAGATGAGCTTGGTTTGGAAATGGAGGGAGATTGGGGGAGAAGAGGAACCACAGGTTCCAGGCCATGCAATCAGCCAGAATGCTAATTTCTCTACAAGGCCTAGAGGGGAACAGACTGAGGAGAAGGGAAGAATGAGATTTAGGGAAGAATCTAGTTGAAAGGGAAAGAGAGAGGGGTAGGGAGAAGACCTCAGAAGTTTGGAAAGCCACGCCCCTCAAGATTCTTCCACATTTACCAACAGCAGTTGAAGAAGCTAAATCCCAATCCTGCTGCATCTCTAGCAAGATGCAAAACCCCTGCTTAGCTCCCATTCACTTTGTGAGTAGTAGCTGGTGCTCGGCAAGGTATAGGATCAGACTCCAAATAAACTCCTGGCAGAGTTAACGCTGTTCCTGACTAGCCAGCAGATGTCACTATAGAACAACAATAGGAGGCTTAAAACTCTCCTTGGGAGCTGAGTGTCCCCTCCACTTCGGGGAGCGAGAAAATTATTACTGGATTGCAGCCCTTTCACTGGTTACCACACAAAGTCTCCATTAGATCAGCCAGCCAGTCCCCTTCTTTGATTCTTGATAAAATGACAAGGAGCCTCTTTAGATCACCATGCTGTTAAAATGATTTACTGTCGTTAACTTACCTATTTCATGTTTCTTGAGGATTTTTGTGTCTGCATTCCACAATACATTCTTTTGACAGCAGTATGTCTGTGGGCAGCCAGGGCCCTTTCACTGCCTGGGTGCTTGCTTACCTCATTGGAATGAGTCCTGTTTTGGTGCTTGGCTCGATCGGAGGCATTAGAGAATGCTTTGTTGCAGCCCTCATGCTCACACACATATGGTTTCTCTCCAGTGTGAGATCTCAAGTGGGTTTTCAAGTTTTCTAGTCTGGAGTAGGCCTTTGTACAACCTTCAAACTGGAGACAACATGCACATCGGGATTATTCTACACACTTGGACTTGGAGAAAAATTAAACCAATAAAAAACCCCCAGATATCTCAAAGACTAGAAGCTTTCCAAATCCTATGAGATGGAGGGTTTCTTTTCTTTCATTTAAATATGGCACAATTCCTCAATAAAGTATTTCCAGCACCATGTAAAACAGCTATTATAAGAGAAAAAAACCTGCATAGTAACAATATGTTCATGTTTGTTTCAACACTAAAATCCATTACACAGTCACTAATATTTTGGGGTCAGCACTAGGATCCAGATACTCCTCAGTGAGGGAAAGTGATTTTAAACACACATGGAAATGCCTCTGCATTATTTAACAATGCACTACTTTAGGGATTCATCAGACGATTTAGTGGATGAACTGGGCTTAATTCTACCCTATCTTGTACCATACAAAGTGGAGAGATGATGTTACCAAGTTGATGTGGTGCTGTTGGCACAAACATTCTGCACAGGTCTAAAACAGCTATCCAAAAGGCAAGGCAGTGAAGAATCAGTCCCATTGTGCTCTTCAAGTGATCCTATCCACCCTGGGATAGCCTGGAACTCAGTGTTTTTTACTCACAGTGCATTTGTGTGGCTTTTCCCCTGTGTGTCTCCTCATGTGTACCACCAACATATACTGGGCTTTGAACGGCTTCTGCTCCCGGGAACAATCCAGCCATCGGCACACAAACTCCTTCTTCTCTCCATGTATATGATCATTGTTTATATGCTACATAGGGACAAAACAATATTACAGTTTAACTCCTGGATGATCTGGTGGTTCCTTCTGGCCTTAAGCTGTATGACTCTCTATTGCTCCCGTTTAAGACTTGTTTTTATTATAATATTCATACTATGATAGCGCCCAGGAACCCCAGAACAAAAAAAACACATAGAACAAAAAGACAGTCCCTGCTGCAAAGAGTTTACAATCTAAGTAAATTCAAGGCCCCATCCAAAGCCCATTACAGTCAATGAGAGGCATTCCACTGACATCAACAAGCCCAGGGCATATAAAAATATTAAGTTGATCATGAGTTTATTGAGATTTTACTCAGGACTCAATTTACCTTACTCATAGAATCATAGAATATCAGGGTTGGAAGGGACCTCAGGAGGTCATCTAGTCCAACCCCCTGCTCAAAGCAGGACCAAATTCCCAACTAAATCATCCCAGCCAGGGCTTTGTCAAGCCGGGCCTTAAAAACCTCCAAGGAAGGAGACTCCACCACCTCCCTAGGTAACGCATTCCAGTGCTTCACCACCCTCCTAGTGAAATAGTGTTTCCTAATATCCAACCTGGACCTCCCCCACTGCAACTTGAGACCATTGCTCCTTGTTCTGTCATCTGCCACCACTGAGAACAGCCGAGCTCCATCCTCTTTGGAACCCCCCTTCAGGTAATCATGTTGAGTAATACTTACTCACACTAATGGAGTCTCATTTACATGCTACTCTACATAAGTAAGGGTTGCAAAATCAGGCCCCTATTTGACTTCATGCTAATGTAAGTTTTTCATACATTTTTTTTTCAGGGGATATGTCCTCCAAATAAAAAAGTCAATTTAACTGATTAATTGAATTTCAAACCACCCATTCTGACTCACTCCATATTTTCAGCATTTTCTTAAAAGTGGGTGTATTTATTTCATGTATGCTTGGAAAATATTACACATGGAAATGATTAAAAAAAAAAAAAAAACCCCAGTCGAAGTGGAGTTCACGCCAACCCAGACTTCTTTTGCCTTTTTGTAATATAGTTTGTCCCTCGTTAAATAGCTTGCCTCAAGGCTAAGTCTTAAATATGGCCCTCCAAAACACTTGTGCAGCTGTCATTATGGTCAGTGGGATATGTGTGAGGTGTCCAAAGGCAGAATTTGGTTCTATGACTTTTGCTTGTTCCAAAAGGTAACTTGCGCTGTTCCACTCAGTAAGGTAACACATTTAAGTACATGCTTAAGTTTTCATTAAGTCCTCGGATGGAGTGCTGAATCAGGACCCACAAAAAAATCGAATTTAGAAAAAGATTAATTGTTCAAATTCTTTGCTCAGATTTTAAGAAAAAGCACCCTAGACTGGGATTTTCAAATAGGAATGAATTTCAATGGGATTTGGTTGCCTAACTCTACTGGACTTTCTTTGAAAATCCCAGCCTTCATACACTTTGTCATTACAGTTCTTCAATTGTTTTTGCAGGCTTCTGAAACAGTCATCATTTCCCAGCTTTACCACTAGGTGGCCTTCTGTCTCAGAAAATGCAATTCTTTCTATTAAGGTAAGAATATAAACTGTTTCCAGAGTTTAAACTTGATCTTAGTATAGAGATGAAATCAGTATCTGCTCCAGTAGCTCACAGAAAAGTCAGACATACAGAAAGTCAGTAGTTCATACTGGAGCACAAAAAGATAATACTAATTTTTTTAAAGTCCTGAAAACAATCAGAAAACCATATAAAATCACTTATGTTCACAATTATACAGTATCCCCATAGCAAACAGATGTGGGTTTCCTATAAAAGATGACTGTTCTTTTTCTCTTTTCTAAGCTTTATTACCATTTCTTAAAAGTTATGATGGTGCACACAGCATCTGAACAGAACAGATGTGCTGGACAATGTACAACATTTAATCTTTAAACGTTTATGTTTCAAATGCATATCTCTGTAGTCCATTCATATTACATGAGCCTGTACCAAAAAAGTACAGATGGTCAGTGTTTTGAAACTGAATCAGAACAGTACAGAGAGGTTTATGTGCACTCTTATTTCCCGAAAGAAAAAAAAAGTGACTGTACAAAACTCATTGGCCAATACTCATAACTATTGGCCAAGCCTTCCAGTAAATAAAATGGTGCATTAGCTGGATAAAGCTACATGGGATGCAAACTAACAACTGGTGAATGTTACACAAGTTGAATTCCATCTGATTTAAATAGAGACCAGCAGTTAATTTTGTTCTCGTTTCAACTACAACAGCATCATTTTACCTACACAGTCAGGCAGTGTGCAAAACTTGTTAGTTTTGCCTACATAGCAATTATAAAATCTGACTTTTTCCTCTTCAGCCATACAACTAAGATTCTCACCCAGGCCCTTGTCAGCTCCCATCCTCATTAATATAACCAATTCTCATTGGCCTCCCTAAAATTCACCCCATCTCACCAATCCATGCAAGATGCAGCCACTAAAACCACCTTCCTAGTGATTTGACTGTCATTCCCCTCTTAAAATTCCTCCACTGGCTCCCTCCTTCTCCACAACATCAAGCGTCTTGTGATTGCCTTCAGGGCATTGCATAACTCTGCTCCTCCCTAATTATCTGCTCCTCTCTCTTATCATATCACTCCTTTCCCATCCTCTCCACTCTTCCCACAGTCATCTTTACTTTCGTCCATGTTATCTCAATGCATTGAATGTCCTCTCTAAGCTAGTCTGCAAAGCCCCTTGTTCTCATTGAAATCCCTCATCTTCAGGGAAGGCCTCGAAGAAACTGGCTGACAAAGTCAAGTACTAATCTGCTTCATTTATTTTACTCTTGAATGAGCTTCTCAGCTCCCTTGGAGGCCTGGTCTACACTACGGGATTAATTCGGATTTAGCAGCGTTAATCCGAATTAACCCTTCACCCGTCCACACTACAGAGCCAGTTAATTCGAATTAAAGGGCCCTTTAAATCGATTTCTGTACTCCACCTCGACGAACGGAGTAGAGCCTAAATCGATTTTGTTAATTCGAATTAGGGTTAGTGTGGCCGCACACCACCGAATTACTGTGTTTAAGTTAATGGGGTAGTGTGGCCGCACACCACCGAATTAATGTGGTTAAAAACCGAATTAAGGTGCTTAGTGTGGCCGCGCACAATCGAATTTATACAACCTGTTTCCCAAATTCGAATTATCTAAATTCGGATTAATCCTGTAGTGTAGACATACCCGGAGGAAGGGGTGGAAAGGGAGAGGTGTAAAGACACTGGAATGGAAGCTGGACATTGGTGGAGGAAGAAGAGGAGACGGATGAACTGGGTAAAGAGAATGTAATGTGCTAAGCCCACATAATAAAACATACACAGTTGCAGAACACAACAAAACACTTAGCCAATAAGATTGATGGCTTTCATCACTTTGGGTCAGATTCTGATCCTGTTACTGTTTACTCAGAGTGAGTTGTACCTCACTCTGGGAGCAGCTCACTGATATAGAGAGAGACAGGCAGAATTACATAAATTGTCTATCCATTTTTATTCGGCTTTTAATTATTATTTAGCAATATATACATGTATGTGTGTGCCTCACACATTGAAAAACATGCTACAAATAGAGTTAATGATCTTGCAGACAACTGCTATGTAACATGTTCATTAGTTTGTGAACTTCACAATTCAGGTTCTTTCACTCTAATAATTACCTTTGGATTTTGCATGGTGTTTTTGACTCCTTGGTCACCACAATGAGAACAAATGAATAGTTTTTAGCTTTACGCTTTGGCATAAGAGTATTATGCAAAGCAGAAGCTTTGGTACAGTACAATAAGGATTTATGGGGTTTCAATTTATAATCTGTTTGTAACCTTATTACACCCATGAAATGTCACATTCCAGGGACTACATCAGAAGGATTTTTTTTTTCCTGGTGAAATTGAATTTTAATACAGTGGTCCTAGTGTCTTATGGGTGTGAAAAGACTGTTCTTTTAATTTTTATCTGTTATAGGCCCGATCCTTTAAGTCTTACTCATGTTATTAATCCTTACTAAGGCCAATAGGCTCATGCAAGCCAATAAGCCTACTCCCCAGAGTAAGGATTACTCACATAAGGCTCTGCTGGATCAGGCTCCATATTATTAAAAGCTTCTCATCTGAAAATTGAAGCTCTCTTAAGTATAGAAATTTTCACACAATGTCCCTCTCACACAAGCATGATAGAACCTCCCTCAAAAAATAAGGTCCATTAATAGAATGCTGTTCACCTTCATGCCAATTGAATGTTAATCAACAGAGTTAAATTAGTTCTAGCCCAGTTTCTTTGGTTTAAAGGGTGCTGCTATGCTGAGCATATAACATTTCTGCAGAAATACTGTGACATGGAGGAAGACACACAATGCAGGGTAACAATTTGCAACTCCACTAAAATCAAGGCTGACTCTGGCCTATACGCTCTACTGGGAATGCTCAAAGGGATAAGAAACTTGAAGCATGATTTGGAGTTGCCCTAGAAGCCAAAGTAGTCTACATCCGAATGGCAAGAAATAAAATAATAAAAGATAGCCTAAAATGTGGAGCCAATGCAGGTTTCATAAGCCGCACTTGCTGCTTTGCACCACAGCAGAAAATGCATGGCCACATTTGAGGTAGGAACTTCCAAAAGATCTTTTGTTTAATTTCCCCCTTCTGTGTGTTTTCTATAGAAAGGGAGCACATAGGGATATCCTGACTGACTAGTTGGTACCTATTAGTCATTCATAGATAAAGGCCAAATGTGTTTCCCTTGGTAGCCAAAGAGTAGCAAGAGAGACTATCCTTTGACACTGGAAGGATGATTCAGGAGCAACAGAGAAGGAATAGATAACAGATCTAATTGAGGATGCATTGGCTAATGAAGTATGGTTTGGAGGATAAAACAGAAAAGTGTGAAGAAAATATCTAAGTTTATTTTATACACTGAATACCTTATGGAACATATTTAACAAGAAAACCAGAAATAAAAGGCATTACTTGCATGCAATGTGGCTAAAGTTA